TTCCAATATTTCACCCCTCTGACGGTCAGAAACCTTTGTCTAATTTCAAGCCTGAACTTCCCCACGGCCAGTTTATATCCATTCGTTCTCGTGTCCACATTAGTATTAAGCTGGAATAATTCCTCTCCCTCCCTTGTATTTATCCCTCTGATATATTTAAAGAGAGCAATCATATCCCCCCTCAGCCTTCGTTTTGTCAGACTAAACAACCCGAGCTCCTCTAGTCTCCTTTCATACGACAGGTTTTCCATTCCTCTGATCATCCTAGTGGCCCTTCTCTGCACCCGTTCCAGTTTGAGTTTATCTTTTTTTAAACATGGGAGACCAGAACTGCACACAGTACTCCAAATGAGGTCTCACCAGCGCCTTATACAACGGAAGCAGCACCTCCTTATCCCTACTAGATATACCTTGCCTAATGCATCCCAAGACCGCATTGGCTTTTTTCACCGCCACGTCACATTGTCGACTCATAGTCATCCTGCGGTCTACAAGGACCCCTAGGTCCTTCTCCTCTTCCGTTACTTCTAACCAATGCGTCCCCTTACTAACTCAGAGGAATTTTTGGGGGGGAGGCTATCCCCTTATCCTCTCAGAGAACAGCAACCCTGACAATGAGGAAAAAGCTCACAGAGGCAGAGTGGTAACACCTCTGCAGTTTATCAGCCTTAATTGGAAACACAAACTTCATGCATTAAAGCCTGCAAAACCAGGCATCTCCAGGCTTTATATCATTATATACATCCATCTGTCTGGATCTGTATTTAGTCTGGGGGGCACAAGAAGTCTGGTTAGGAGTAGGAAGCTCTGTCTCTGGCTCTCTTGGGCTTTTATCTATTTATGCCAAAAGGAATCAGATGTGTCATTCATAAAAGCAACGTGAGCAACAAGGAAATCCTTGCCTTTGACTATTCTATCTCTGCTCTGCTACAATGTATTAGAACAGGATTATATGGTTGAGCAAGTTTGTCAACGCTTTTCAATTAAATACCAAGTATGCTCTTTACATCCATGTAATTACATAGTAACTATTGTACTGTTATCATATACGTAATTATTTTTGTCTTCTAAACCAGAGTGAAGGGTCTGGTACTTACCTTGAGGTCTGCTATGCTATTGAGGTTTGAATATGTTGTTATTACAGAGCTGAAAAGTATCCTCCATGTAAATCTGTGTAGTTATTAGTGATAGGACAACCTCAGCCAGTTTATAGGTTTGGTTTGAATAAAAATTCAAAATGTCCTTTTCAGGTCTTATCCTTGGCTTCACCAGCCTCCTCACCATCATCTACAAAAGTCCCCTCAAACTTACAACAGGATTTTCTCTAGTTTAACATGTCCATATTGCTTGAATAAATTAAACCTGCCTCAGCTTCCCAGTGGATAAAGAGCCTATGCTTGGCCCTGTGTGTGTTTGGAATGACTCACCTTCCATAGCCAGATCCTCATGAGGGCATGATAAGTGTCCTACTCCTCTCATGCAAGTGCATTGCTGCTGACTCTCACTCTCCATACTAGTCATCGGAGACTTGAATGAGAGTTTTGACAGCTACTTCCCTACTAAGATGATTGTTAAGGAGGAACAGCGCTGACAGCCTGATTCCTCCAATAGCATTGTTTTCCCAATCCTTTTTCTGGGATTCTCAAAGTAATGCCATAAGGAGATCATCTAAATTGGAGTGAAGTGGGCTGGTAGATGGTGTGGTTTCAAGAGAAAGGGATTTTTTTCCCTCACAGCCCATTGGTTAAATGAGGAGAGTAACTCACTTAATCTTTAAAAAAAGATTTGGGGTTCAGTGGAATAGAGCAAAAGATGAAGTCTAAGAGAGATCTTCTATTTCAAGAAATGTCTTGCTCATTCCTCATAGTTATCCTGAACCAAGTTATTCTCCCATCATTATGAATACAACTCCAGTTGAAGTCAGTTGCGGTTACACCTATGTAACTAAGAACAGAATTTGACACACTGCAAGTATTTTTTTTTGTCTTGATACATGTCCTGAAATTTAAAGAAATATTTATTGTTGTATTTTTGTAGAATTCATGTAGTAAAGGAGAGAACTCTATAGACTGATGGCCTCTGCTGTATGAATCGGCATTGCTCCATTGATTTTATACCAGCGGATAATCTGACCCTATGCTCACAAAAGAGGTAAGCAGTGAATGATAGTGCTGTTGTTTAAAACCAGTACTGTGTGCCAGCTTCAGTGTATAAACATTGCAGGAAGTCACCTATTTTGCATAATAATAAATGCTGTAACAAATTCAGGCAAACTGGGACCTTTGTGCTGTCGTTATGCTGAACACAGTAGTCACCCAGTGCATCCAGCAACAATGTGGACAGGTTTGAAATCACAGGCCAATTACAAACATATATACATATATATATAATGAGAATTAGGGTATATATATATATATAGAGAGAGAGAGAGAGAGAGAGAGCGCGCCTAATTCTCATTATATATATATGTTTGTAATTGGCCTGTGATTTCAAACCTGTCCACAATATATATATTGCCTAATTCTCATTATAGGGCTAATGACTAGAACTGGTTGAAGAGTTTCTCTTGTGTTTCAACCAGCTTTACTACTGATACTCATTTGAATTATGCTGATTACATGCGGTAGAGCACCATGGTACACACACATTAGCCACCCCCTTAGAATACTATGCACTTACCCCTCATCAGAGGATCTCAAGGCACTCAGAGACTGCTCATAACCATAGTTCCATCCAACCTGTCTCACTGATCCATTAACAGGATAAAATGAGGTTTGAGCATGTTAAATTTTTTTCTAGGACTATGTGAACAAGAACCAGGCAAGACAGGATGATGCCTCTCATTGTATTTGGTTCCTCTAGAGGCACTTCTTAATAGCTCTGATCAATAGAAGTTGACATCCTGATGCAATTGTACCTGGACAACTGACTATGGTGACAGTTGCAGTAGTTTTGCCCCTTTTGACATAGAAGGGATTGGTGCTCAACTAAGTTTTGAGTCATTTGAAGATAGTTTTTGATTCCTGACACAGACCAGAAACGCTTTAAGCAGGGCTCCTGATGCAGCTGGAACTTATCCAAGTGGATTGGTGCTCTTGAATCATTGTATGGATGTTTGAAATAAGTCCCCTTCCTTTATTGAGCTGTAAACAGCTTGCGGCAAGTTGATAGTTCTTGTTGCAACTCAAGTTGGACATTGTGGATCAAATCTCAATAGTCAGTTCAGAGCTACTCAAAGCAAATCAACATATTTTGATGCAGACTAAAAATAAAGTGAAGAATGTAGGGTGACCATACGTCCCATTTTGGACAGGACAGTCCCCTTTTTAGGCCCTGTCCTGGCCATCCCAACTTTTTAGGCAAAACTGGGCATTTGTCCTATTTGTTCTTAGTAACTGATCTAGTTGGCAAAAGAAAACTAGACAAATGCACAATGTTGCCAAAATGTGGGGTGCAACCCCTAGCGGGGTGCAAAAGAACCTGTGGCGGGGGGGTGAGCAGCAATGCCAGCCCCGCACTGGAGGAGGGCTAGGGAGAGCAGCTCAGGCCAGCTGGCCCCTTGCGCATGCAGGTGGCAGGGGGCCTCAGGCCAGCCCCTTGTGGGGGGCAAGAAGGAGGGCCTTGGGCCAGCCCTGTGCGTGGGGGGGGTGAGGGGCACCTTGGGCCAGCATTGGTCAGAAGGGCTTGGCCCATCCTGTGGAATGTCCTGTTTATCCTTTGGGAAAATATGGTCACCCTAGATCAGTGGTGGGCAACTTGCGGCCCGCGGGCTGCATGCGGTCCATCAGAGTAATCCACTGGCGGGCTGCCAGACAGTTTATTACATTTGCACAGCCACCCGCAGCTCCCAGTAGCCGCGGTTTGCTGTTCCCATTGGCCGGGAATGGCGAATCATGGCCACTGGGAACTGCGGGCGGCCGTGGAAATATAAACAAACTGTCTGGTGGTCTGCCAGTGATTACCCTGATGGGCCGCGTGTGGCCTGTGGGCTGCAGGTTATCCACTACTTCCCTAGATGAATGCCTTATTCTAAGGGACTTTGAACTGCACCTATTATCTGCCATAGGCTGGCCAGTCATCCTGTTGATTTATCTGTCATTGTACTCTCGTCATTGTAGAGTCTGGTCTTTTAAACCTCAGTTACTGATTTATAGAGCAATGATGTGAGAAGGTGAATATCTAATCTAAGAAGTGTTTGATACAGACCAGATTCACTAGGATACTCTAGCCGCTTTGTGTCACTCTGGCAAAATATAGCCACTGCAAACCTATCTTAACTAGCCAGTTAAGACAAGTTACATCTGCTTGGCATTGGCAGAGTGACACAAAGCACTCATAGCATAGTGATGGATCTGGCCATAATCTGAAAACAAATTATCCCACCATAAATGTAATGGGTTAAATTAATCTCTGGAATAACTTCATGGCCTTCAAGAGAAATACCCCAGGGTGAAATTTGGTCCACTGTTTCTATTATGACCACACATAAACTGAACTTGTATGTGGAATATCAAAATAATAAAAGCTGCTGTAGAATGAAACTGTTGGTGACTCCACTGGCCATCTTTAGGGTTGCACTGAGGTTTACATTTAAAGTTGGAGATAAAAATCACTTTAATCACAATGAAATTTTACATGAAACTTAACTAAAGTTATAAAATTTCAGTGAATAAGAGAAAATTATAATTTTCTACTAAGATTCTGTTATTCCAGTGAATAAAACAATAAATACTTTTTGAATTTTTACCTTAGAGTTATAAAACAGTAAGATTTTAAATTTAATTGGAAAGGTTTCTCAGGTCCACGATGGAATTTATGGTCAAAACCAGCCATAGACCAAAATTGCCAACAGCCTGATGGTTTGAATGCTCACCTGAGATGTGGGAGGCCCAGGTTCAAGTCCATGGTCTGAAAAAGAAAAGCTGGGATTTTTCTACGCAAGTGCCCCAACCACTGGGCTAATGGTTAAACAGTTAACCAAACTCTCCAATTTCTGTTCCATAGGAAATTCTAGTACTGCAAACAAGTTTTCATTCCAATTTTAATTGAAAACTAAGAATTTTGAAATTTCCCACAGAAAGTAAAATTCCAAACATTTTTGTTTCAGAAAAATCAAAATATTTTCATTCAGTTTTTCTGAAACAAAATGGAGCAGCCAGCTGCCCTTCTCAAGGACTTTTCATGCTGCTTCAACTCCAGACTTCCCAGCCATTGACTGGGGAGCTGAGAAGCCCTGGGAACTTGGTGCCAGAATCTGCAGCAGGGCTCCTATAAACTGTGTGCTTCCCAGTCCCAGGGCAGTCCGCATGAGGGGCTGACATAGAACCATGGACCTGGAAGCCTGGGCTCTCCAGCAGTCTGCCAGGTATGATGGTAGGAAACCAGGTAGGTTTAATTCAGCATTAACATTTTGGTTTTGATGAATCAGCATTTTCTGATTTGAAAAATATTTTGTTGGAAAATTCCCGGTTACCTCCAAGTAGCTATTTTGTTTGGAAAATGGGGGGGGGGGGGAGGGGGATCTCAAAACCTTGAATTTTTTTGCAAAATGAAATTATTGTTTTCTGGCCAGCCCTACTTTAAAATCCCTCTGCACATTTTGTGGGTTTTTGGCTTTTGCAGTGAGTGATCATACAAAACACAAGCCTGGATTTACATTAGGTTAAAATCTGCTAAACAATCAAGAGAAAACATGCAATAGTTTTCTGTGGCAATAAGCTGGTTTATATGTGCACAGTTTCTTATTTTTTCCTCTCGACACTGGCAGTCATCTAACATTTCCTGACAAAACAGTGTTCCATTATATATATAATTCTAGTTTATACCCAACGTGTCACAATCTGCCATATGAAAGGTACGATGGCACAGAAAATCTTAAAAGCCTTCATTTCAAAAATAGAAAAAAGCTTCTATCTCCCCCCCAAAAAAGAAGATTATCCGTTAAAGCTGAAACGTGCAGAATGCTGTTTTGAGTAAGGATGAGGAGTATTTTTGTTCTTTAGAGTGTATTGTACTTGAATGTGATTTTTCTGTTGTCCAAGATTTAGTGTAGCAAGCAGGAAATGTAATTTTAATTAGTTGGCATGTTGTATAATACCCAAGGATGCAGCAGCTATTTAGGTAGGAAATATAAATTCCATATATTTGTATGATACTTGCTTCTTGTTTCAAGTTTCAGACACTGTGCAGGATTAGCAATGTTTTCAATTTGCTTCATGTATCATGATGGATGGGAGCAAAACATGCTTTTCTTGTGTAAGGAACATTAGAGTCCTAGTTTCTAAGGCCAGAAGGGACCACTGTGATCATCTAGATGACCTCCTGCATAGCACAGGTCATAGAACTTCCCCAAAATAATTCCTGTTTGACCTAAGCATGCCTTTTAGAAAAACATCCAAACACGTTTGTGGGTGGCAAGCTACCAGCATTACATACAAACTGGTGAATAAGCTGTTTTTGCCAGCTATATTTTGTTGAGACATATTCACATATCACTACAATTGGAATGCTATAAGTGACTCTGAAATTACTGAAACTACTTAAATCTTTATAAAGTTCTTAAAAATGAACTACTTAATTATTCCTTATTCCTATGAAGCACACTGGTGTTCAATTCAGATTAATTTAGACATAGAGATGGATATATGATGAAAAGAGCTAGACAAAATTAGTGGCACATTTTTTTGAAAGCTCCTGCGATATTTTTAGCATATTCATTTAGTATGATTTTCTGTATGCCCTGATTTATATTTTTAAATATTTCAGGATATGGAAAATGTGCATGCAATAACTAAACAAGCCTTCATTTTATGAAAATTTGAGCAGAAGGAGATGAATATGGAGGCGTGCAGAACTACTGAATTCTGTTTTCAGTTATGTTGCTTTCTAACCATAATAACACATTGGACTTGTCCCACATTTTTACAAGCACAATATATACATTTAGTTCTCACAACACTTCTTTGAAGAGGGTAAATAGGTAAATATTGCTGTCATTTATCAGATGAGAAAAGTAGCCGTATTGTAGTCTTATACTGGGTCTTATACTGCACCCATGAACTTAGCATATCTATATCAGGTTCCCTATGGTATCTGTGATCCAGCAAGTTGGTGTCAAACAAGGATTAGAACCTAGCTCTAACTTCACCCTG